CTGGCCTTGAGCTCACTTTGTAGCCCAGGCTGGTCTTGAACTTGCAACAATCCTCCTGCCTCAGCCTCCCAAGTGCTGGGATTACAGGTGTGCGCCACCACACCCGGCCTGAAAACATCATTTTTATATGTTGGGCTCTTGTTCTTCAACTAAAATTATGACTAGGCAGAAACAGGAAAATTAATATATAGCTTACATAAAACTTGAGCATGTTTCCTGAATATATTTGTCATTAAATGAAATCTACCTTGGCTGGGAAATTTGCCTAGTTATTCTAGTTCCATTTCATGGGAGCATTGTAGCAAAGTGCAAAACTTGGACTCTCAACCTGTATAGACCCTTGAAATTTCCAGTAGGCCCAGTTTCCTCGATTTGTGGATCTGGTAAACAATATTGCTGATAGTCTCACACTGTATTAAAATTTCATCCCAACTTTTCTTCTGTTTTGGTTGAACTGTATTGTCATCAAAATACGCTTAAATTCCTTTCAAAGAAATGTGAACTGATCACCAAATGTTTCTGGTAGAATTTTTAATATCTAAGTAATGCCTATTGGAAATGGTTTCAATGTTCCTCGGAGTTATCAAGCTATTATAATGCATGGCACACCTAAATAAATAAATCAGCTCATTAATATGCAAGGCTTGGAAGCTGCCAGTGGAGTCCATCTGAAAACTGCAGGCCAAACACCCTAAGATGCTTCCTTTTGATTCTCAGGTGTAAAACAACCCAGGGAGAGAGCTGCTCCATGTCGCATTGGAAAATCTCAGAAATTACTTGAGAGTCTTCAAACTGTCATTCAAAGCCCTGAACGGTTTCTGAAAGAATATTAGTCTCCTTAAACAGTAGCTTTGCTATTTTTTTATTTAACCTATTTATTTTTTTATTTTTATTTTTTTCTGGTACCGGGAATCAAACTCATGACCTTGCAGTTGCCAGGCAGGCGCTGTGCCGCTGAGCTAAATCCTCAGCCCGTAGCTTTGATATTTTTGACAGCTAGTAAAACTAAGCCTTTGGGGTTGTAATCCTTTGAATGATAAAGCCCAACATCATCTCTCCTGAGTTTCTTAGAAAGAGGGCTCAGGAAAAACGGAAAGAAAAAGGAGGGAGCAGGAGAGGGAGGGGAGGAAAGATTGTTATGATGAAAATGACTGTGGCAGAGATAACCTCAGAGCAGCATAATAAGACCCTTCGTCAAAAGTCAGCAGTCAGCTTTGCTTGTACACAGCTTTCTATGCCTCACAGAGAACAGCAGAGGAAAATCCGTGAAGCACATGAGGTCCCCTCTTCTATTTCAGTTCAACAGCATGAACTTTGCAGCGCTCTTCCTGACAGCCTGAAGGTCCATTTTCATGCCGCCAACATAGGGTAATTTAAATTCAACCCAAATTCTCCTGCAAGAGCTACCAAAGAAAGGGAGGGAAAGAAAGCAAATTAGAACCTCCAGCTAGCCAAGTAGCTAACAAATACCAAGCTGGAACGAGGAGAAAGGAGTTCAACATCCCTCTCTCTAGGAGGGTATGAAGGAAGTCCTGTATTTCCTAGGAGTTGGGGAAGGGCCACACAGGACTCCCGGTGTTCATTCAGGTTTTGCTTGAAAAGTTATTTTGTTCATTTTTTGGTGTTTGTCACTCAGGATTCCGTACAGGTCAACTCATGAAGCCCAAAGCCTTGTTCTACAGAAGGCTGGGGAGATGCTGGAATAAAAAGGGCTCTTAGGATGCAGCGTAAAGCCTGGGGCCAAACGAAATCCCAAAGGATCCGAACCTTGCAGAACTCTGACCTTGGGAGTCAGTTTCTCTTTTTAAACCTTCTCAAGCTGCTGAGACCTGGAGGAAAGAAAAACCACTTTCCAAGTCAATGGTCTAAATTTTATGTAGAGGACAGATTGATCCTTATCTCCTGTGGGGTGAAAATCTGGGTGGATCCCAAGGAGGTTGTCTCCACAGAAAGGACCCGGAGCACATAGAGACCAGTTCCTCACTTCCTAACCAACCAAGAAGCGCTGAGGACCGAGGCTCCTACCCTATGCCAAGCTCCGTAAATGCTGCTTTCAGGGTAGGGAAAGACAAGAACCCCTGCTTGGTTTGACCCTTGACTGTCCTAGTAAAGACTTCCGGTTTGGAGCACAGCCCCAAGCAGTACTGTTACCCTTGAGGATGAGGAGGTCCCACGAGCAATCTTACCTGAGGTTTATCAAGCTGCACCTTCTCCAAGCTTTTACCATTTTGCTGAATCGAACACTTCATAACTTCACAGTAGATGCTCAGGAGTCCTTTGCTGGTTGAGTGGCACCCACCCCCTCCTAGGGGCGGTGGGCTGGGGAAGTAGATCGGAGAGTGGACACGAACCCTGGCTCTCCACGCTCTCGTTCCGTGACCAAGCTGGGGTGTCTGGGCTTCCATCTTCTTACCCATAAAATCAGGAAAGTAACAAATCTGCTCTCTTAAGGCTTTGATGTGATAAATAATCATGTAGGCTATTATCTCCTTCAGCACAGTCCCTGGCACTTGGGAAGTTCTCTGCCAACAGCCTTCGTAAAGAATAACTGTAATCATCTCGGATAAGATGAGTGCCGCATCTCAGATAACTGAGCACGTGGTATCAGTCCATCATGCCGTGGATTCGCGTGCTCTGCTGACAGAGTAGCCAAGGTGACAGCAGAACATCCAGAAGGAGAAGTCGAGCTAGGAGACCTGAGTCGGCGTCGGTGAAGAGGACTAAGTGGATCATCAGACTGGTCATGCCTCAAGAGCAGGGCGTTAGTAAACGCCCAGTTAGAACTGCAGTCCCCAGGACTGGTCTGAATTGGCCTGTGCCAGTCGGTTTAGAGCAGTGTTGTTCAAAGTCCATCATTTCTCAGAACCTTGCAAGAGGCTCTTTAAAACTTTGCTAGTGGGGTACAGTGGTGCCACATGCCTGTAATTCCAGCACGTTGGGAGGCTGAGGCAGGAGGATTGCCAATTGAGCTTAACCTGGACAATTTAGTGACTTAGTGAGAACCTGTTAAAATTAGAAAGAACTAAATAAAATAAAAGGGCTGGGGATGCGTCCTGAGTTTAGTCCTTGGTACTAAAAGAAAAAAAAAAAGATTGCTGAGACCCCACCCCCCGGAGGTTCTGACGCAGTGAACCTGGAGTGACCGTGTCAAAATTTGCTTTTCTGACAAGTCTCTAGGTGAGGCTGATGCTGATACTTTCAGGATCAGTAGCTCGGTGTGGGATTTAAAGAACCAAAGTTGAGAATTCAACCCCACGCAGCCCTGTCACAGACGCCGCTGGATATACAGGGCAGTAAAGGAGAGAAAGCAGAATGCTCGCTATAGCTTCAAGGCCCTCCTAGGGAAAAATACAGCAAAACACCTACCGCCTAAATAGTGCCGCTGACGAGTGACTGCCGGCTCCACTCGGGTGCTGGTGTATTCAAGGTGCTCCTGGCTCCAATGTTAGTGCTTTTGTCATCGCGTATTTACTCCAGAAATGTTTAACCTCACGTTCAGGACACTTGCTGCTGCTCTTTTTGGAGGCCAGCACCTGAGTTTCAGACTTGGCTGTGCATTTGGGGATCTGTATATCTCACGAGTACAGTGATCAGATTCCGGTGGCTCTGTCATTTGTCTTGAGCGTGAATCTCACGAATAAATGACTGGGATCACCCGCTGCGGAATCCCCTTGCGTTCTCCGGGTTCGCTGTGCTTGTGGTAGCTGAGAAGCCATTGTCTGTTTGTTATTTTAGTCAGTGAGAGGGGATGGAGGCATCACCCACTCGGAAGAAATAAATGGGAAAGACTCCAACAACCAAGTAAGTGACTGGAACACGCTGTGGTGGCGGGTTCAGCCGGCATGACCTCACTTCCTCCCGCTCGCACTTTTAACGCCATCCTCAGCCATTGCCGATGCATGTAACGCCTCCAGATCAGGCGCCCACGGTGCACCGGCCCGTGTTGGGCTGTGCAGATACGCACACGGGCAAGTTAGAGTTTATCCCCTGCACACAAGCTCCCCGCTCTTCTCTGTGTGCGGGGGTTCCTTCTCGCGGCCCTTAAAGAGACCGTCCAGACCCGCCAGCCACCGCTGCATCCCGTTTTTATTTTCGCTTCGTGGCACTTACCATAAATAGTAACAGTTCATAGTCTGTTAGCCGCCTTCTCACCCGCCCCTTCCCACCCTGGCTGGGACGTCCAAGGAGCAGACAGCCTTACCCATTTTCCTACGTGGTGCTTAGTACCTAGTAGGAGCTGGTTCTAGAATAGATGAGTGAGGGACACAGAGGTCACAAAAGCAAAGATAAAAACACCCCAAGTCCACGAAGCCAAGAATGGGAAGGAAGAGAGACGGTGCAGCACGGTAGAGGGGGCGGAGGGGCACAGGGACTTGATCTTTCACGCTGGACAGTGTCTCATTTGCACAAGGCACTGAGAACCACACAGCAGCTTAGAAAGAGGGGATGTTAATATGCTAATTCAGACAGAGTAACCAGCTCATCCCTGTCGCAGAGGACGGTCCTGACCAAAAGAGTGTCACTTCCATGCTCTGCGGTCGCCTCCCTCCCGGGACAAGCCAAAGCAAGTGGCTCCCCGGAGCCTGGTGTCTCCCGGGGCCAGGCTTTCTGCGCTATGCAGGCCTCCCCACACCACGGGGTGGCGGTTCCCTTTGACGTTCCGTACCCAGGAGGAAGCTGAGACAGAACAGTGCACCAGTCACACAGCAAGGGTGCAAACCAGGCCCCCGGGTTCCAGACGAGTGTCTTAACATCTGTGCAGCGAACACAGTGAGGGGTTTGAGAAGGGACCCCGGCCTCTGCCCTCTGAGGAGCTTGCTGGCAGGACTCGATCTGCCATTCTCACGGGAGCATCTGTCTGTGACGCGCACATCTTCGCCTTAGCCTGTGCTGAGACTCTGGCAGCTGCGCCCCCACGGACACCCTCGGGGCAGACGGCTTCTTCCTTCTTCGGTGATGTGGATGCTTCCTGCTCAAGAGGCTTCCTCGCCCGGGGCAGCTGCGACCTTGGCCACCTACAGGGCCTGGAGTCTTCGCCTCTGTATCTCTTTTCACCTCTTTCTAAGGGCTGTGCTGTGCTCACAGGTGCAAGAAGACTCTTCTTGGCTCGGTGCCTTCTCCGTCAAAGCTGAGACTCACAGAAGTTAGGTGTCTGGGGACCGCGCCTCACTGCATGATTCTAATGTCATCCGTATCTATTCAGCGGCTCTGAGTGGCCCCTAGGATCATGCTCCAAGTGTTCTCTGGGGCCAGGGCTTTAAAATTTTTGAAGTCAATATTTTAAAGCTGACATACTTTTTATTTAATTTGAAGGTCTCGTTGAAAGGACAGCAGATGGGAGGACACGAGGCTCGCAGGCTGCAGGGTATCTCCCCCCGCAACCTGAGCAGCCCTTGGCCCTTTGGACACAGCCTGTGACATTCAGTCCCCCAGGTTTCCCCATCCCCAGTTTGTCACCCAAAGCCCCCAAAACATCGCCTGTCTCACAAATATTGCCCTGGACCTATACACTCTCGTAGCTAGGGCTCTCATAAGATCTCTGTGCGACTATTTTTACCCCAATCCTCCTTTTTGTTTTTATATCAACTCCCTGCCTCTAGCAGGCATTTGAATTCAAGTAAATTATGACAAAAGGCTCCGTACTTCCTTCTTCTTTTTTTTTTTTTCCCCCGGTACCGGGAATCGAACTCACGACCTCGCCCTTGCCAGGCAGGCACTGTGCCGCTGAGCTAAATCCCCAGCCCCCATACTTCCTAATACATTGATTGATTTGATTCGATTCAATTTGATGTGATGTGATTTGATTTTCAGATCGATAAATCTACACTTTACCCAACACCTTCTTGAATTTTTGATTTTACAGTCTCATCCCTCTGGATCGTAGGACCCAAACAAAATGTCTCATTTTGACCTGTACGTTCAATACTAAGGATTCCAAACCATTCATTTTTTCTTTTGTAGCACCATTTCATGAAGCAGAAGGCCAGTTTTACACCAAAAATTTAGGTAGCTGTAACCAGGGGAAAAAATGGGTATCCCCAAGAGAGAGCCCCAGAAGCCTCTCAAAGCTGGCTCCATCATGAAAGGGCTCCTGGAACAGCTGGATGCAGGGAATACATGCCGGGCTCAAGCGAGCACCGATCCCTGGGGGCTTTCCCCGCGTCCCTGTTGCTGCATTCTGCATTCTTCTGGGCTCCCTTCCTTTTGGGGAGTACCTTCCCCGGAAACAGCGCTGGTTCTGAAAGCCCCAGGCTTACATTTCTGCAGGTTTAAAACAAATGGGAAGAGACCAGGCCTATGATTATCTCAGTTAACGCTTGGAGTAAGCTCTGCTGTAATCTGTGTTTGACTCTCCTGAACTGGCCCTACGCCTCAGTCACGTGCAGCCCTCTGATTGGCCAGGCCTGAGCCCCACCCTCCTTAGGAGAGGTAGAATTCATTTGCTTAGAACACATGGAATCCACGGGGGAAAAGGGAGGTTTCCTAAGAAAATTCCAATTTTTAATACCAAAGGAAAGGGGGAAAGACTGCCTGCTGGGAAAGCACAAAATTAACTCATCAATTATTAGATAATAAATGTCCCCTGCCATGCATGACCTTGCATTTTTCCTTTTTCTTTTCCCCATTTCACCCAAGACTCACGAAAGTATAGCAGCCATCCATTTGAACACCTCTGCTTTAATGCATTTATTCCCCTGCTTTGAGAATTATCTCTCGTCCACTAAAAATGGGCTTTGTTTGAACTTGCCGTAGACATCAAACTCCACGGAGAAAGCCACCACGCCAAAGGCCGCCACGCCACCTGAACCAGAGCCCACGGCAGCGGCTCAGAAGGGGAGAGAGGGCTCCGCCAAGGACAGGAAGGCGGCCGCAGAGACGAACAAGCAGAAGAGCAACAAACAGGAAGCCAAAGAGCCGGCGCCGTGCGCGCAGCAGGCCGCGGCGGAGATCAGCACGCCGCAGAGCGGGGGCAAGTCCCCGAGGAGACCCGAGAAGCGGCGGCAGTCTCTCGGGGGCTTCCTCAAGGGCCTGGTAGGTGCATCTTTCACGTCTTCTTTCTGCCTGTCAGGAAGGGATGCGCATTCCACCTCTAAAGGATGCACGCAGCCGGTGGGACGCCCTGGCCCAAAAATATTTATTGAGCACCTGCTGGGCGTGGTGCTGGGCGCGGTGCAGGGCACCTAGAGCTAGAGCAATAGAGCCGTGGCTGCTCTGGAGTTCACGGTCAGGAGCAGGACGGAAGGGACCGCGGGGGCTGAGCATGGCAAGAGCTGAACAGCACGCAGGATGGGGCGGGAGGGTCAGCACAGGCAGCTTCTTCCCGCTGCTTCCCAGCCCGGTGCCTCCCGGAAAGCCCGGCACACTGGTCGGCCTTGCTGTGCCCGGCACCCGCCAGGGAGGCCCCCTCTGCGGGTACCAGTGACCCATTCTCCCCCTCCCAACTCCACCTACCCCCGTTTGCCCAAGTCTCAATGTACTTCCTCGCTGCGGACTCCGCGGCCCGCGGCCCTGGTATGTCAAACTACTACGCGATAGTGAGTGGGTCCAGTCCTCCTCCATGTGAAGAGTATGAGATTTCGTGACCCTGCTCCCATCCAGATTTCTCAGCCATGAAAGCTCAGCCATGCCTAACCCAGAAGGCCACTGAAACAAGCACGTGAGAGGCTCTCTAACCCTGCAGCGCAGAACCCAAGACCTAGGGAACAGTCAGCATTGTTACTCTGCTCCTGGGTCACTGCCTCCTGTGTGTCCTCCTCCTCCTGATCACCAGCTTTCTTCAAAGGCTTACATATTGTAGACACTCTGGGTAAACATTTGTTGAATGAATGAATGAATGAATGGGGAGTTAACCAATTATTAGCTTACCCTATCTATAGTACACCATCTTGGGGTGCTAAAAGAAAAACTGTAGAGAAGAGTTGATTTGAGCAAAGAACAAGCCAAGAATCAGGCAGCACTGAGAACCGGAAGAGGTTCAGAGAGTTCCGCCCTGCAGTGGGAGCTCTGGGCTTTTATAGACCGGATATAGAAGCAGAGTGGAGAAACCACCTGATTGGCTATAGCACTGAGGCATTCCCCTGATTGGGCATAGTCTGAGCGCTTGGCTACCTATGATTGGCCAAAACTTGACAGTTTGTGGTTAGCAGAGAGCTGGCCGTTTGATATAAAAACGGTTTGTGGGCCAGGGATGTAGCTCAGCGGCCCAGCACCTGCCCAGCAAGCGCAAAGTCTTGAGTTCGATTCCCGGTACAAAAAAAAAAAAAATGGTTTGTGTCTGCACTAACACAGGCTGTGGTTTGTCATATAGGAACATAAAGCAAAGGGACAGCCTGAGGGGCTGGGGATTTAGCTCAGCGGCAAAGCGCCTGCCTGGCAAGTGCAAGGTCGTGAGTTCGGTTCCTGGTACCGGAGGAAAAAAAAAAAACAAAGGGACAGCCTGGCGCTGAGAGTCTCCTGCTTATTTAATTTAGCAAGGAAGTAAATGTACAGTTGTGTTGGTCCCTGGATTTCAGAAAAAATGGCTGCTTGATGCAGAGTTCCTTTGCACCAGTTGCAATGTTAGGCAGAGTGGTGAAGAAAGTATTTTAGATTTGCTTCTTTCAATCTCCCCACAAAATGGGAGCCCGCCAGCATACGTGAACCTCCGGCACCTCCAGCTCTATGAGAGCTCGGCTCTACCCCACAGTTCACACACGTATCTCAGTACGTGCTCACTCCACAGTGGGTCAGTGGATCAGATGAACACATCATAGCTATCCCGGTACGATGTTCCAGGCTAGCGTAAGTTCCTTGAAATCGTTACCCTTTACTAAAATGTTGCACTCCACTTTAGCACACTTAGGATTTCTTTCTACTGGCATGTTTAAAACATATCCACTTGCACATGGAGACAAAGATTAAGCATTCATTAATGATGTGATTTACCTTTGAAAACAATTAAAATTCTTCCCTGCCTTCCTTCTTTCCATTCTGTATCCTCCCTCCCTCCCTCCCTCTCTCCCCTTCTTATCTCCCCTTCCTTCTTCAAAATCTCATCTACAAATTCGCAACCAAAATTAGCAAACAAGAAGGTCAGTGTGGGAAGTCACTGAAGGAAGTTAGAGGTGAACACGGTAGAGCTTGCCTGGGACAGGAAGGAAGGGTATGTTGTCAAGGAGATAATGTCAGAGGTGTGGCAGGAGAGAGAAACAGTGCCATGCAGGCCAGCAAGGCTCTTGCAGGAGGAGGAATGGCAGCACTGGCAAAGGCCCTGTGGTAGAAAGGACATCAGTGAGGGGCTGGGGATTTAGCTCAGCGGCACAGCACCTGCCTGGCAAGCACAAGGTTGTGAGTTCGGTTCCCAGTACCAGAAAAAAACCCAAAAGAAAAAAAAAAAGAAAGGACATCAGTGGAAAGATCTCAGTGTCTGAGGAAGAGCCAGGACTTGCTGGGAACAAAGAAGACAATGAGAAGAGTCTAGGCAGGGGCGGGGCAGCTCAGGCAGGCTGCACGGGCTACACAAATAGTACCACACATCAGGCCAGGCGTGGCGGCTCACCCCTGTAATCCCAGCACTCGGGAGGCTGAGGCAGGAGGATCGTTGCGAGTTTGACACCAGCCTACGCTACAAAGTGAGCTCAAGGTCAGGTGAACTGGTGAACTGCATAGAGAGACCCTGTCTCAAAAAGACAAAAAAAAAAAAAAAAAAATAGTACCACAGCCCACGGAAGCAAGAGGCTCTTAAAAGGCGTTGGGCCAGGCAGTGCGGGAGCCCTGTTTGTAACTTGTAAAGACTTTGCAGTCGAGGCCGTGGGCCAATGGCTATAGAAAGACCCCAGCGAGAACAGCAGCCCATTCAGTGACCCCGGAGAGCTGGTGGCAGCTTGGCCCTGTGATGCCTGCAGAGTTGGTGCATGTCAGACACCGTAGAGACTGCAGTTACAGCTCTAGCCACGGAGCCCCGCCCCGGACCGCACTCGGGCGTGGACATTGCCTCTTTAATTACGGCAACCCCTTCCAGGGTATGACTTGGGGTCCCACTTCCCAGATGAATACACCGATGAGTTGTGACCTCTGCTGAACAGTGCATGGCCTCTCGGAGGCAGCAGCAGAGTCCAGGCCCCGGGGCTCCAGTCCTGCTTCTTGCCCAACAGCATAGGCGGAGCCCGAGGGAGGTTTCTGCCTCTCCCAAGGCCAACGCCCTGAGACCTTGACAGTGGACACGGTCCTCCGTGATGCTCCCTCTTCCCGAGAGGGAGGTGCTCACACCTGCCAGAAACAGGCGCGCGCCTCCACGCCCAGCCAACTTTTATTGTAATTACTGTGCAGCAAAGACCGCTTAGAGCTACTAGCATTTAACCTTCATAGTTGCCTGAGAACTCCTTTGTATCCATGGTAGAATTAAAAAGAAACTGACCAAAGTCACACGGCTAAGAAATGGCAGATCTAGGACTGAAACCCCAGCTACCTGATTTCAGTGGTAAATGCTATTACACAATACTATCCTATGTGCACACTATGCTATATGCATATAGTACGCTACACTAAATCTGCACTATATGAGTATACACTATGTATACTAAATCTACACTATAAGCATGGACAGGGATGCGCTTTAGAGAGAGCACAACAGAGTCATTTGGGGAGAAAATAAAAGGGTGCCGTGGACAGTGACGGCAGGGGGTGCGGAAGTGAGCTAGCAGAGGGAGGTCTGCACCCCAGGGATCGTCCTAGCTGCATTAGGAAGACGAGCTCGCTTTTTCCTGAGAACAGCCCTCTGCTGTAAGTTCTATCATTACCATTTTAAAGATGAAGAAACCAAAGTACAAAGCTCTTGTCCGAGATTTCACAAAGATAGAAAGAAATACAGCCGGGCATTGAACGGGGTGTCCGATGGTCGACCGCTTCTCCTCCCCATCACTCCTAAATAAAAGCTGTTTACTTACCAACACCTTCACAGAATACGTGCTACATAAGTCGGTATCACACATCCTCAGTCGGCTACAACTGCTTATGTTTTTTTCTCCAGGGACCGAAGCGGATGTCGGATGCTCAAGTGCAAACAGACCCCGTATCCATCGGGCCACCAGGCAAATCCAAGTAAACAAATCAACAGGTCCCACCATGTTCTGCCAGCCAGATACGGTCTCCCCACTCCACCTCCTCCCAAACACACGCTCTGTATATATTTTTTTCTTCTCATGCCCATCGAATGAAATTCTGCCTACAAATTAAGCCTGAGCTGTTGTATATTGGGGTGTATTATTTATGTCTCTGGTGCAATCTCTCCTGGCAAATAACCTTAAGGATGGGTTAGCAAGTTTAACTGGTGGGGTTGGAGGAGTCGATTGATTGCCGAGCAGGGCAGGGAGCAGGTGTGGGTTACATTTGTGCAAAAGGCAGAAACTAGTAAGTTACAGAGGAAAAGTATTCGCAAGTTAAGCCGTGTAGCAAGTACGTGCTCATCGTCTGCATTTGAAGAGAGGAGCAAAAACTGTTTAAATTTACGCTTCAAGGAGGGAAGCATGTTGGGCGTTTGCCAGCTTTCTGGAATGGAATGTGTGAGGCAAGAAAAAGGGGTGAATAAGAGTTGGTCTTCAAATAGGGCCCTTGAAAGTTACTGATGAGGGATAAACGATCGCTGGGGAGGGCTTGAATTGCTTCTGAGGCTCAGGGACAAGGGCAAAGACTTACAATTAAAATAAAATAAAATAATAAAAGAAGTTGCAAGTTTATTTTGCAACACAAGGGGGCGCCAAGGTCTCCGTTTTTAGGCCGCATTCTGTATCGCTAACAATGATCTGGTCCCTGCAATCTTACATTATTAATGTTTCTCAGATGGCGGAGGGGCTTGCTTCATCTGTTCTGTCTGACACTTATATCAAGTCTGTCTGTAATTTCCTAATGCTCTCAGGATGTGCTCTGATAAAAACCCTCCTTATAACCCCAGTTAATAAAAATTGACAGAATATTATTCAAATACCTGAGTTCTTTTTTTTTTTAATCCTTGTACGGAGGACTAAATAAGACTAGGAGTCTATTACAGTTTGATTCAAAGTCCCATATGACTGACAGTCATGTATACTGTACCTTTCTCTTTCTGAGTTAATAAAAAATATCCACGTACTTCTTACAGTTATCTTTTGATTTTCAACTTTGAAAGCAGGTCCCACATACTCTGCTGAGATGGTCGGATCTTCCACATTATAAAGTCAATGCTCTTCCTCTCTGGAAGATTCTTTTGGACCCTCTGGAAGACAAGTCTCTCCCAAACCCTCCTGGATCTCCTTTTCATGGGCGTGCGGACACACATATCCATAGACACACAGCACAGATGAAAAGTGCTATCCTAGGCTCGGTTGCCGAGAGGAGAGGAACAGGGATTCAGTGGCCCGTGATCTAACACAAAAGCGAGGCAGGGAAGGGTCGGGCGAGGATCGTTCACAGCTGGTGCTCGAACTGCCCCACGCGGTTGGTTCACCTTGTGGCCCGCGAGCAGGCCCTGGGCCCCTGGAGTGAGTCCTGCACTGCCCAGAAGTGGGCGGGGCCCGCAAGCTGCTCCGATTAAGCTGAAAGGCTGGGATAGCCAAGCAGGTGGAGGATGAGTGTGTGCTCAGCGTCCACTCCAGACACAGGTGTGTATTCATACACACCTGTGCACACTTCCAGACTCCTTGGCATTCATAAATAGAGACAGGTAAGGGAGTGGATCGATGTATGCACACACTCCTATTCACTCAGACACATGCAGGGAACACTGATGCACACACGCGCGCGCACACACGCGCGCGCGCACACACACACGCGGCTCGCAGGGACCCACCCTCCATGCAGCCCATCTCTCGCTGGTCAGAGGTGATCACTGACAACAGCCCTGGCACAGGCTGGAGTGCAGGAGCAACACCTCTGGCAAACAGGTGTTTGGAAAATGCATTTGGTAAAGCCTGGTCCGTAAGCACGCAGGTTCCAGGGGGAGCCCCCGCTGCCCCACCTGGACTGCGGACTGCTGAATGCTGGGTTTCCAACACAGCCTGGAGGCTGTTTCCTTGCGGCTGGGTCTGCTTCTCCGGTCCTCCTGGCCAGACCTGCAGATTACTCCTGTGGCTCCCGAGATGAGAACCCTCTCCTGCAGCCTGGGTCTGAACACTAACCTGGGCACGGCGGCGGGAAAACCCTGAGGGAAGCCCTCGGCACAGGGCGACCATCCTTCCATCATTGCTAGCTTAGGCAGGGAACAGATCGAGGAAATCAGGCAGCTGGCTGTCCCTTTGTCCCCAGACCTCCGAGGGCTGCCTACAGTGACCTCTGCTGAGCACCACTGAGGTTGGTGACAGCACCCTCTGCAAGTTTCACCTCTCTGGGCACAAGGGCTTTTGCCCAGATAAGAAATACCCTGGTGTGGAGGGGAGAAGCAAAACAAGTGTCTTAGCAGCTGAGACCAGGTCACTGAGGCAGAGGGCTCCCACCCCCACTCCGGGAAACAAAACAAAACAGAGCAGAAAGACGAGCTTCCTGGCTCAGACTGCAAAGCCTGCTGATGGCTTTTCTAACCGGTATCCCCTCCACCTGGGCCACGGGAAAATCTTTTAAATGAAACAGCCTGGGTTTGTTCCCCTTTAAGGCAAGAACATTTAAAGAACCAAGAACTAAAAAAATACTTCCTGGGGGAACTCTAAAGCCAGCGGGTAGTTCCAGAGCAAGTTTACACTGCACTCATGTTTTCTCTGTGTGTGTTGTGTTGTTCACTTCTCAGTTAACATCCCATTCCTGTACACTTACAACAAATACTGATCTCCACGCCTTGTGCTGAATTAGTGTGAGAAAGAGCAGAAATCCGCCCCCCACCCCCCCCCCCCCGCGGGCTCAGGAAACCCCTACGGACACAGAGGCACCCACGGAGGGACTGACATTCCTCCAAAAACCCAGCTGAGAACCCGGGGGGAGAGGCAAAGCAAAACAGCATGCAGCAAAAGATTGCAGCAAAAGCTGTCCTGAAGAGAAAGAAAAGAAGACCTGCGGGAGGGCAAAGGTGGCTTCTTACGCTGATGACTCACAGATTGTTTACTGGTTTATTTTTAGGTGCTCGGGAAAGTGTACCTTCCTCCACACCAAGAAGAAGCGGCCTTTCCAAGAATGGACCCAGTGAGCTGAAATGGCTGCTGCTATGAGCACACACACACACACACACACACACACACACACACACAGTGCCCTACATCGTCCCTGTCTCACCAGTGGGGCCCTATTCAATTAGACTGCAAGAGGCCAGAATGCACCCCACTGACTTTTCCTCAGAGAGTCAGGAAAAGAGCAGATTTCTACAGCGAGTTCCTGGTGTTGTCACCTCTTCCATCACACAATCCCAAGCTTTAGAAGTAAAATCAGGGCCCGGGAGAGCAGCTCGGTGGTAGAGCACTTGTCTAGCACGTGTGAGGCCCTGGGAGCCTTCCCTAGCCTTGTAAAAAAATAAGTTCATTAAAATAAATTTTAGGGGCTGGGGATTTAGCTCAGCGGCACAGCGCCTGCCTGGCAAGGTCAAGGTCGTGAGTTCGATTCCTGGTACCGGAAAAAAAGACAAAATACTAATAATAATAATAAAATAAATTTTAAAAATAAAATCATCTCCACTACCCGCCTTAAAGGGAGGAAAGGAGAATGAGGCCGAGGACAGCTGTGTCCACACAGCAAGCAAGCAGGGCTGGACGCGCCCTGCAGCCACAGCGCGGGTGGGACCTGGTCTGCCACGGGCTCGCGGCCCCCTGCAGCCGGTAAAGAAGCCAATTCTGTGTGGAAAGCAGAGTCAAGATTTCGTCTGTTCTGTGAGAGAGAAGGGAGTGGCGCTGGCCCCTTGGAAATTAGGGCTCCATTGGGAAGAAAAGAAATTACTTACTGAGTGGTGGATTCCGCACCTTTGTAATTCAGATTTCAGCTCTCGGCCAGCGCTTTGCAGGAATCGGCTTCCCCGGGAGTTTAACTCTTCAGCTTCTGCCACCCTCCCCCAGAAAGCGCTCGTCCATCTGCTCCATTCCCTGCCCTCTGATTTACCGTTGCCACCCATAAGACATCATAGGACTGACCGTGACGGTGCCCACACATTTCAGTCTATGAGATGCTTTCTGAAAGCATCTAATCTAAAGCCAGAAGCACCTGAATTGCGCTGCTTCCTTCGCACACAGCGTTAGGCAGGCACCTGTGCAGACCTTGCTGCTGCTTCTCAGCTGGCACTTGTTGGCACAACGACCCCAGCTGCACATCCGGTACTGACTGCCCCATCTCTCACTAAGCACTGTCCATTTAAACCCCACCACACGGGGGCGCTCCAGGAACTGGGGTTCTACAATCTCTACCCAGGCCTTTGTTCTGGCTTGCCTAAGCAGGAAATTGCACCAAAGCAGAATTAAGAGCTTACTTGTTGATTCATTCTAGAATGCAGTCAAGTTGAATAAAGTGACCTGGAACAAGAGTGCCGATCTGAGAAAGACAGTCGTTGCCACTGGGGCAGTACCGGGACCAGGAATTGAACTCACGGCCTTGCGCTTGCCAGGCAGGCGCTGTGCCGCTGAGCTCCAAACCAAAGACCCCTGTTTGGATTTCTCCGTCCTTCTCTGCCCCACCCAGAAGCTCAAGGAAGGATATGTGACGGCAAAGCCTTCATGCTGGTGTCACTGCATAGCACTGAAGTCACTGTCACCGGCCCATCTTCTTCCATAAAGACACCTGACCTCTCACGCCCCCACACGCCACTACAGAACCGGACTTAACGCCTAGCTTCCTCCCTGAGCAGGGCACGGAGCTGCCGTGAGCATGGGCTGAGAGGATTCATGGCAAACAGTGCATGGCTGGTACACAACAAGTCACAGAAACCGGGGGCTGGGGATTTAGCTCAGCAGCGCAGCGCCTGCCTGGCAAGCGCAAGGTCGTGAGTTCGATTCCCGGTACTGGGGAAAAAACAAAAACAAACAAACAAACAAAAACAAACAAGTCACAGAAACTCTGACTCAGATTAACTAAGAGTGGTAACACCGACAAGGACACCTGCCATTTCCTACGTAAGTGTTATGTAACAGTCTCGGCTTTGGTTCACGGAGGCTCTGTTCGGGCTAATAAAAACAATAAAGGAATACCGCGCATCATTCCGCTGGCGTTACGTCACAGCCCGGCTCTGACCCTCCCGGTCTCCGCTCTGCCTTGCTCTATGGGTTTCCTGCATCGAAACTAGTGCCAAATAAGTGACTGCTGCAGTTCCAGGCGAGGGGACTGTGGGATTCCGATAATTAACTTCAGTGGGCAGCTTGGGTGAAAAAGGCGTCCAAAGGCAACCACGATGGTGCAATAAACCGGAAAGCAGTTATCTGTGTGAGTGTTTTTAAGGTGATCCAGTCCCCCAAAACAACCGTGCCGTTTCATTCAGGTTGATAGGGTCTGAGTGACTATGTGGCCCATTCTTCAAAGCACGGCCATCAGGTTGAGAATTTACTGAGCTCGGGGACCTTCTCGCCTGTCTGGCTGACTGCTGTACGGTCAGTGTCCAGCACAACGCCCAGACAAACTAAATGCTGAATGAGTGGCATGCAGTGGATAGGCCGTCGGAGTCATAATCCGCGCTCCACGCTCATGGGAAGCAGGTTGCCTTCCTGTAGTCTGAGCTTGTTTTAGCTCCCGTGTGTGCTAAGTCCAACCAGATACTCACCTCCCCAGAGCAGCAGCCTAGTGACTCTTAAAGTATGGTGCCCAGGCCAGCACCATCAGCCTCACCTGAGAACGGGACAGGAACACAAACCTTCAAGCCCTAGTCCAGACCCACTGGATCAGAAAGTCTTGCGGTGGGACCCACTTGTGTCATAATAAACTCTCCAGGTAGTTCTAATGCAGAAAAAATTTGGAAACCACAATCATCGCTGTCCACAGGAGTAACATACTCCTGAGCACTCCCTCCCTCCCCGGTTCTCCCCAGGACCATGTCCCAAATCCACTGCCTGCCCCCACCTCCCTGTCTCTCAGGGCCTGAGTACCCTTAGGGACCTCCCAGGAAAGCTCAGCTCCTGCCAAACAGTCTGACAGAGGGCAGTGAACCTGGACTCTAGTTTTAAAGGTGCTGGAGGCGTTGCAAAGGCAAGCCCCGGTCG